TAGCCTGAGGTAAGTCGGTGCTGGAGTGAGAAGTAATAAATATCAAAGCTAATACTTTTTTCAATTTTGTACTTGAACGAAGAAATCCAGATAAGTTCATCAGACTTTCTTCATTTAGAGTGGCAACTAAACAGTCTCAGTATATTTACAATTAAGTATTTAAAATCAATCTTTTCTTATCTCTTTTTAATAAAATGTTTTTTTTTTCTTTTGGAAATATTGAGTAGGTAAACTTATTTCATTGCTTAAATTTTCACGCTAAAAATAACTTAAAGATATGGTATATGAACTGACCAAAAGTTACAGCTTTAATCTACAAAGAAAAATAAATATTTCAAATAAATCATTGAATGATAACTTTTTACTAAACAACACAGATTGATAGCTAAACATTTAGAAACATATCATACCTACTAAGTCAATATTATCTTTAGAGAAATTCAATAATTTGGGCGCAGGAATCTCAATGACTACATTAGTATTTCTGATTGGAATTCGAAATTTCGTCCTTGTTTCGCCACTGTAAAGCCCACCACTTCCTTCTTTTTTGCATAGCACTAACTAGAGCCTCCTTTTGGAATTGCGTCTCACTGTATGTAATATCCCAACACCCATCTTTAATACTATAGAGAGGTAGGTACTTTTTAATAAACATGTTTATAACTTTTGGAAATATATCAGAATTAATACGAATACTCAAAATATTGAGTAATGTTGATAATAATCAAAATGGCACATAGCAGGTGTGAACAAAAATACCAGAAAGGTAATTGTTTCATTCTGTGGAGATAGTTGGTAGACAAAGGTTGAAGAGTGTCAACCAGTCCTTAATGATAATTTTATTAAGATGGTCTCTGAGATAACAAGAGAGCTAAAACCAGTTATGAAGCTAGAGTATCTTTCCTTCTGAATATTAAATAACAAATAAATAAATTACGAAAATATTACTTAACAAGATAAAAAATACATTTGGGAATACGATTCCACCTCGTTGCACTGATCATACAGAGACTTCTGTGAGAATTTGGCTAGATCATTAAGGACATTAAAAACAATGCTAGAAGCTCCATGACTGACGTTGGAACCTGAGTGCCAACCAGTCCCGAGCTCCCTTACATAGTAAATAAGGCAGTTGAGTATCGTCCGTCTCGTTGGAAACAATATTCCTATTAATACAAATTAAAGTAAAGCATGACAATATATGTAAAACGGAAATGTAACAGTGTACGACAAGAGACAGGCCAAATTTTAATTTTCTGTCTCGTACTTCGCACTACAGTACGCCCTATATTAAAGTTTCTTTGAATGTAAGTTTTTATCCAAGTTAATTTACAGGGATGTGAAATACTTCAGAGTTAGTTACAATCAAAAGTATGTTAATTTGGAAATATCAAGTTCGATCTCATCATAAGAATTTTGAAGCACCAAGCTTGTTTGTTCACGTTGCGGTAATCTTCGGTGCTGGCATTGAACTTGTATTAAAAACATAATATATTCCTAACCACTTCCTATTATAAAGCAAATTCAATTACACATACAATTGAATAATTATAATAATAACCATTGTTGCTAAAATGCAATATCACCTATTATTGTTGTAACAAGATCTGACTTGGTCTTCAGGCTTCGCCTTGTTGACTCAGTTGTCCGTTCTGTACGAATGTTTCAGAGGAACGTGACATTTTTAGCGCAACGTGTGGCGGACCACGCAATTGAGAAAAGGATGTGTACGTTTGTGAAAAAACGAAGAGACTGCCTTGACGACAAGAACACTTCCAGAGATGATAGCAATTGCATTTCGGAGATATTAACGACCTTTTTAAATATCCACGAGAAACCCGTCTTCTCTTTGAAAACTTACTGCAGTTTGTCAATATTGCGTAATTTTTTGTTGTAATGCTATGGGAATTGAATCATTTTTGTATCTCTCAGGTCCTCAATAAATAAATAAATAAATATATAATCTAAAATAAGTCAAATGCTCAATTACAATCACTATAATAGTAAAGGCAGTGGTCAGCATGTAAATATTCTTGTTACATAGTAAGATGTGAAATAAAAATTACTATGAAATAATAACAGACTGGATAAAACTCATGACTATTGTACAAATAATGATTTTTATTAATGTTTTAGTTTAAAAAAATTAAATTGAAGGAAACACTTCACGAAATTTTACGAATTCAATAAAATATATAAATAAGTACATGACAAAAATTGTGAAATAGAACAATCAGCAGTTAATTTTTATTAACTGCTTATTAATTATCATAATTTTATGATTCAATATTATCTTTTCTATGCTAATTTTCTTTTGACTGAATTTTAACAAATATAAATAATGAATGTATTTTTGCAACTAGTTTTTGTGAATTTATGTTAACCAACGGGTACAAGAACTGGTGAATATCAAATCAATTTATACTTTTGTTTTGAAGGATAGAGAATTACTTGAAATATTCACAATACATCCTAATAATTGTCGAAACCTAATTTGAAAAGAATGAGTAGGTTATCAATCAGTAAAGACCACTACTGTATTCATTTAATTCAAATAAAAATACTTACATTTTTCACAATTTCATACTCCTTGTTTCACTGCTCCTTATATATTTTTGGATTTTTTCTACATCAAATAAAATAAACGATTTCTTGGAGTTCGGTGGCATCTACGTTCACCAAAGAGGGCAAGATGAATACCGCCGAGAAGGAGCCGTTTAGCGCATCCTTAACACAAGGGATTATAATAATTTGTAACGTTGATAATTTTATTTTTGCAGCAAATTATAAAGAAACTGTAACGTAATAATCAATCGTATTTCTTTGTAATAAGTCAAACACCAGAAACTCACATTTATTAATAAATTAATATTAAAAAATGTTTCTAATCAATTATTTAAATACAGGTCATTCACGCAATTATTCACATACAACAATTGAAATAGCTTCAGTGCCAAATAAATCTAATATTTACATTGTATTGTCAGTTTTTCAAATATATATAATTATTTTTTGTACGATTGTTTTACTTTTTAACATTGTTTTCTACCCTAACAAACCATGATATGTTTAAAATCTATATACGGAAGGAGTGAAACATGGATACTTTCAACATATCACATTCACGCCAATGTTTACAACCTCGCGAATTTATAGTAAAAACGGTTTTAGAGTGTCGACAGTAGATTGTCGAACTGAACTGACACTTCAACTATTTTCGCAGAGCGGTATATGATTTGCACTGGTACCAATTATGCTTTAAGACATGCAGAATTACATTAAAAACAGTGTTCCTTCATTCACTATGAGCTTATTATTATGAAATCGATTAGAAATGTCTTATATGGCAATATTTATCTTTTTTGTTGCAAAGAGCATCTGCAAAACGTACTGACTATATCATTCACGTAAAAAAAGAAAAGGACTGGCACCATATTAGAGGCTTCCGAATTCAGTTGGCGTAAATTGGTGTGGATAAATAAATCATGTATTTTAATGCCAGACATTAACATTTATCGATTGATCCCTAATATACAAAAACTCCAATCGAAAGAAATTTTACACATTGCTTTCGAAGGTAGCTTTGAAAGCAAAATGTTATGACCAAATTTTTCTAGAGACGTAAAACAATGCCGATATGAAACTCATTACTGCCTGTAGATGACGCAACATCTGTAAAAGAAAGCATGAAAGTTTCGTTGCATTTCAAATTTCTTAACCCATGCTAACATTTTGGCGGTGCGTTGCAGAAAAATGTTTCCAATAATTTTTAAAACTTCAAGAAACTTATTCTACTTCCTAGAAACAATGAAACACAATCTTTGTTGACCCTGTGGTGAGTGCGTCACTCGCAACCCATACAACGTCACCCAGATAGTGATGCGACATCGACAAAAAATCGATGTTGAGGGACGGTGTTGACAATCTGCATAATATATTTATCAAAATCAGTCGATGTTTTTAAACACTGACATTTAATATCTGGTTTTATACCTCTATCATTACATTAGTGCGCAACAAAACTGATTTTGTCAGTGCCCATGTAATTAATTAATAATAAAAATGTAACTGAAAAAGTAAAACGCCCATATGTGATGTTATTATTACACTTTTTAACACTGACGAACGAAACATTGAGAACGTAAAAACCTCGACCACAAAATATCGATATTAAAGAAACATCTGCTTCAATACATCGATGTTTAAAACATCGATATTATAAAATGTTTAAAACATCGATGAAGAAACATTGATGCTTAAAGCATCGATGCTTTGAAAACATCGGCTTTGATGTAACATTCCCTACTACCGACACTCTGCGAAATAGGGATGAGACATCGCCAATAAAACATCTGTGTTTCCAAATTTCGATGCACACAATTAAAACATTGATGTAAATAAAAGATCGACCCAAACCATCGACGATATTAAAAATCGATGTTTTAAAAACTGAATAAGACACCATTGATGTTCAGTGGGGGAATTTACTTTGAAAGTAGTCTTTACTAAAATTTCTAATCGAGATTTAACTGGCAAAACAAAATCAAAAAGTTATCAGGTCACTTTTGTGTGAAAAATATTCAATTTATGAATGTTGGAAAATTATTATAGAATTGATTCATGAAAAACATTTTTCATTGTCAAAATATCGACCACGTAAAAACATCAAACACAAAACATTGATGTTCAAAAATCAGCTTAAAAATCGAAGTTAAACACAGATTAGTTTATAAAAACATTGATGTCTTGAAAACATCGACATCAATATCGCATCCTTATTCCTGGAGCTTTTTATCATTTTATAAAATATCGACCGCGTAAAAACATGGAACAAAAAACATCGATGTTCAACACATCGGCTTCAATACATCGTTGTTTAAAAACATCGTTGTTTAGCAACATTGATGTTTTGGAAAATTGGCATCGACGTCGCATCCCTACTTGGGAGCGCGCCGCCTGCGCGGCTGCCTGGCTGCCGGGGGCACCGGCGGACGCTCACCCGTGACGACGACGCGGCCGCGGCTGACGCTCTCCACCGTCTCGCCCGTGACGTGGTGCACGGTGCGGCAGCCGTAGTTGGGGTGCGTGTCGGCCGGCGTCACGTCGAACACCAGCAGCTCCCCGGACGGCAGCATGTGCAGCTTGCCGTCTGCGCAGAACGTGAGGCCTGAGCGCGCGCCCGCCCGCCCGAGGGCCAGGGCAAGAGCGCGGGGCGAGGGCAGGGCGAGGGCAGGGCGAGGGCGAGGCCGCCCCGGCGGAGTTGGCACAACAGATGGCCAACTCCGGCGTTGCGCCTCACACTCACAAACGCAAGCACAACACACACACATATACACATGGGCACACAGCTCGCTTTCGCTGGAGCTACACAAAAGTACAAGGGGTGTTTCGGAATTCATGAATTGTGTGTGTGCATCAACAGGTGCGGATGAGTGCTCGGAGAGTACACATTTGTGAAACTAAAAGTGCACCTGCTAGAACATTACACTTTAAATTTTATTTATTGAAAGGAAGCGTTACATACTTTCTCTACACTACGTACATTACTCCGTATATACGTACATATACGAGAAAGTAAAGAGAAGTCATAAATAATCCTGAAATTATAAAGGCATCACTCCTTTAAATAAGACACAAAATTTACTTTAAAAATGATGCTACAAAAAATAGTCATTTATGCAGATAAATTAACAACAACAACGCATCAAGGATTTCGTTTATATCGATCAACAACAGATGCCATATTTGTGATTCGTAAAGTAGTTGAAAAGGCGATTGAATTTAACAATTCAGACTTATTATGTTTTGTAGATATAAAGAAGGCATTCGATCGTGTAAAATTACAAGATATAATATCAATCTTGAGAGAGAAGAACATACCAAAGTAATTATTACAAGTAATAGAGGATACGAATCGAATACGAACGCTATCACAAAATTGCAAATTATAAATATGGTAATACATGAATTACATGTGTGTCAGGCATTAGACAAGGGGATTCTATAAGCCCTATACTTTTTTAGTTTAATTATGGACAAGTTCATTGACAATGTAATGGAAATGTCACGATATAGAATGGGTAGTGAGAGCATATATATCTTTTGTTATGGGGATGGTGCAGTACTATTGGCAGATTCAGAAGGCAACTTGAAAATAATTTCTAAACTTTTCGAGAAGGGCAGAGTATTATAATATGGCCATCTCAACTGCCAGAACAAAATCAATAGGGATCTCAAAAGAGCCTATACGGTGTTAACTGATGATAAAGAATAAAATAATAGAGCAAGTAATGAAATTACTTATTTAGGAGTTGCAATTTGAAGCGAACGGAAAAAGTATAATGAAGTTAAAAAAGCAGGTAATGAAAGAATCAAAAATATCAGAGTATTTGAAAGATGTAACATGGTGAAACGAATTTCTTAATGTAGAAAGAAAAATACAAATTTACCATACTGTGGTAAGACCAGTAATAACATATGAAGCAAAAACAAGGACCGGTAATAGAACATCTAAGAGTCTACTTAGAACATCAGAGATGAGATCATTAAAAACAATATTCGATGTAACAAGATGGGATAGATTGAAATAGCAAGCTCTAAGAAATAAGTGTGACTTTACAGACGTAGTAAAATTTGCAAGAATAAGAAAAAGATAATGGAATGAGCACGTTACCAGGTCGGACAGCACAAAACTAATGAAGATTGTGAGAGATTCAAAACATACCGGAAAATGTGACCCAGGCAGATCCAAGATTGATAGTGTTGGATTTCCACATCTACTCAGTCATTCTGATGATGAAGTATGAAGAAAAACAAGTGTAACCTTAATAAAATAAGAACTATTCTTAAAAGATAGATTTTTTAATATGAACACGTGACATTTTTCTCTATTATAAGTAGTTTTTACGCAATTTTGCGTCAAATATGTGCAATTATGAAACAATATTTTCTAAAAAAATTGCTTGAAGTTTTTTCTTTATATTTGTTTCTCGAATAGAGCAAAGTTTGCTTATAAAAAACGTAGGTCCAATTTTCGTTTCATTATCAGAATAACCGAAATTTGTAAAGTTATTTTGTTTTCGTTGTCTTTCTACAACTACGTTATTGAATGTAGAATTTTTTTCTTGATGAAATATGTGCTTTATAACAAGATCTTGAAATAATATCACTGAACATTCTCTGCATTTTTGAAACTTGCATACGCAAATGTTCACCTTCGTTTTACAGTGTCGTAAATGTTGAGCTTAACTGTGAGTGATGGTGATGTATGAATAGCGTGATAACAGCGTAACCGTAAGCGTGAGTGTAAGTAAGGAGTGCAGTTAGAACAAGTAAGAGGAAGGAATGATCGCGCGCGCTCCGTGGTTCGTTTGTTAGAGTACTGCTCCCGCATTCGCCTGGTATTGATCGGAAAAACTCGATTAGAACAGTTAGTCGCTAGAACTCTTCGCCAGTCAGCTGTTGAGTTCGACCTAGATTTGTAGCTAGTATCGAAAATCCTGCCTCCGTTGAGTCTCGAGTCCTGAGACCTCCCCGTCAAAGACACAGCAGTGACATCAGATGATACCTTCAGCCACGTAAGCCGGTATATTCTAGTATATAATTGACTTCTTTCGTTATTATTAGTCTATATAGCTGTTAGACGGAACCACAGAATGGTATATTAATTGAACGTCATGTTGTGATTGGTGAAATTTAAAAGAGGGCGTTGCGCTCACTCCTCGACCTACAGAGGTTAAGAAAAAAATCTTTGCCTTTAATACTGTAGTCGTAAGAAGACCTCGAACATTTTTTTGAACATTTGCACTTTTCGAAAACGCAAAGAGTTCATCGAAAAGGAGAAATCCGACATTATTAAACGACCTTTACTTTACCTAGAAAAAAATTCGAAAACTCGGAGCCAGTTTCGAGAAAATTTTGAAAATATTATTAAGACTGCCTGTAAAGTATCGCCGAAACACAATTTTTTTTGTTTCAAATTCGCAGAAATCCACAGAGAGATTGGAATACCAATTTAGGAGAAAATCTTCTGAACGATTTTAACACTAGTGCTGCTAGTGACCACAGACGGACGGTCCTTTTCCCTAAACCAATTTTTCAGTATTAAGGACCCACAAAACGCGGAGTCTACCTCCTCTTTACCAAGTGAGCACATAAAGGTAAGTAAAGTAAATAATGTGGTTAAGTTCTAGGAATTTCTTAGATGCTATTAAGTTAAATTTTCCCCATTTGTATTTTATTTTTTGACCACAGAAGTTTTAATTTATCTTAATGTATTTTAAAGTCGACAGGAAAAGTAATGTGAATATCGTGGACATCAAGGATAGTGAATGTCTGAATATCATTTGTGTTCAAGCCGAACCATTAATTTCGAAAAATGTCCAATATTATTCTTCACTTTTAAAACACAAGTATGTCTTGTTAAAAACGTAATGAGGAAAACGTTTTACATAACTCTTCATATCAGAACATGTTCCAATACACATAATTCTTTGGGATTGTGTAATCTGGGACAGAGACAAATGCACACCATTAATAGAAGGATTGCCAAATCGGCCTTGCATGGAATCGATTTTCTCGCAATATCTGCTTGTGCCTAGCACCGCCAGAAATCTGTGGTAATTGTGTGAAGTCTTCTTTTATTCGTGGGAAGGTTGAGAAACAAACGTAGTGGGGAATAATTTATTACTTCCAAGTGAAAGAATGCAGCAGTGAATCATTTTTTCACAACACTGGCAAAATTTGCAACATTATTCCTCGTAATATGCAGAAAATGGATGAACAATTTTCAAAATGAATTAAATACGAGTTAACATTTCAAGTAAAAATTATATAATTTAATTAATGTACTAATAAATTAAATGATATATAAATGATATATGTATATATTTACCCATACATACCCATCAAATATGCTTGGAGATAAACGGTGGGTTAAAATCAACTGAAAACCTTAGAAAGCTTTCTTACACAATGCCGATCAGGAAAGTGTTTCCCTGGGTCATTAACAAAATGCAAAAATGGAAAATACCTTTTCGTTGCAGGTTTAACTATTTTATTTTATGTTTATTTATTTTCCGTCAACAGTTAAAAACTGTGTCGCGTGCTACGGGAAGAAGTATATTTTGTGTACGTTTTCTTCATTCTGGGATCCCTACCTTAAGCCATATAATGGCTGAATTCTGAATATAGAAAGAAATGATCGTTTTTGGCCAATATTGATAAGAAAATATCCATTCTGATGTAATATAGTCTACTTTCATGGGCAAATCAGCTAGAGATTTGGGTTCTTATCCCTCATCACGTCCTTTGTGAAGGGATTTACTACCTGTCGCCACATGGACAACGATAATTTGAATAACTGTATATTTCCTTCTGAAATGTAGAAGACGTGCACAGATAGTGAAGTAACTTTTATGTCCAGAAGCAAAAGAATGAGTTATCTTCGCATTCGCTCAAAGAAGCAGGGAAATTGGAGGAAAAAGCTGATCGAGATGAAAGTCATTGACTTAAAAGGTGAGGTACTATCCTTCTTTAGGATGATACAGTTCAAAATCCAGGTAAACAATACATTCAATAGCATTGTTAAAATTAATATTACTTTCCTTTTTGTTGCTCGGTATATAGAACCAGTTATGCAGCAGAAAATATTTTTTGGGACAAACTTTTGTATCGCTTTTAATCGTTTAATGTCATTTGAGAAAGGGTTGTAAAATAATGTACATATATTGTATGTGAATTTTCGGTAGTGGGCTGTTGAAACTGTCACCTAATGAATATGATTTCTACGTTGGGTATTATAATTATAGACATTGGCGTTGCTGAAAATATATTCCTCCTTAAGTAAGTCAGTTTTGACAAAAATAACTGATTCGTAGATCAAGAGACAAGGAAACAATTTTTCCATGTAATCACTACAAGAATTGAGGCATATGCAGTACAATCGTATCATCATTGTTCGCCACCGAAATTAGGTGCAAATGCTTGCAAGTGCCTTAACCTTGTAGAATTCGTTAGAATCGATGTAATACATATTATGCACAAACACTACGCGTTCTAATCCTTACACTGTCTTTTTTGTTGCAATTCAAACCAGATTCTGTTTTTCAGAAAACCATTATATTTATTTTATCTTTACTGTGTAAGCTA